TGGCTCACAGGGTTTGGGTCAGCACCATCGGGGCTTTCAGGTTCACTCTCCTTTATGGAAGGGGCAAGAACCATTTCCTCCACAGCTTCTATCACTTGGTTTCTCTGCATAGAAAAATACTTAAAAGAACTGGAGTCTTTTTTTAAATGTTACTTAGTTATTTTAAAACCAGTAGGTGTTTCAGTGAGCCCCAGGTGAGCTGAGAGTTTTTGTAGCAAGATGGTCCTTTGCTTCTTTTTTCCAGCCTACTCTGAAGGTCCTTTATTAGTCTTGATAGGTGTAGTTAGAGAATTAGGCTTTCCAAAGAATTAAAAACCTGCCTGTAATGTCCTTTTACTGTTTTCCCCTGCGTCCCATAATGTTTTGTTTTAAAATGCTAAATTCCGTGTCTAGGAAGTGATGTTGTTAGGTTTGATGTGCAATAGCCAAGGTGGAAAGACACTGCATAAAGGACCAAAAGTAGCAGAACTGCTGCCAAAAGGTGCCAGCCACGGGCCTGTTGCTGTAATCTCGGTGCTTTCTGTGAATTTAACTACTTGAGCCACTGGAGGAGGAATGGAACATTTTGGGCAAAGTGGAGCAGGGCAGGGTCCTTGGTACCAGGTCACAGTGTGGACTTCAGGCTTGGCCGTTGTCTCAGCACTGATCTTGGCACGTTCTGAGGAGCTGCCACGTTAAACAGTGGCATGTCTGTGCCTGGGAATGCTGCAGAGGTGCTGGTTTCCTTTTTGGGCAGAGGAGGGAAAGGAAAGCAATGGGGTTTTCATCTCTAGGAGATTCCTTTGTGCTCCTAAGTGAGATTTCTCTTTAAACCTTTTTAAAATCCTCTTTAAGGAGAATCAGAATGTGTCTGGCCTATCAAGGATTTGAGTTTAAAAGTTTTTGTTTTGAAGATCTTTTACTACCAAATGCTGAATGTAACTGCCATAAACTTCAGGAAAAAAAGCCACGAACATGATGCTGTTTCCTGTGGGTGAGTCTGGTGAGCACAGAGTTGGTTTGTATTGCTTGGAAATGTTCTTGTTCTGTTGAGCCAAATTCTCACAGAAGTGGGGAACTCACTGCCGTGGGAATGGGGTGGGGCAGGGGTAGGAGAGGGGCAGAGCTGCTGGCAGCAGAGCTGTGTGTTGGCACCAGAGGGGCAGCGTGCCTGCAGAGCTGGAGCAGCACAGGCAGCGCGGATGGGGGAAGGATGCTCGTGTCTGGGTACAACTGGGGACGTGGTTGAGCCTGTACTACTTGAGAATTAACCTCTGCTCAGTTAGTAGTGTGTGTTCTGTACCTTTTAATTGTGCTTTACCTCTATTGAAAAGCTTTGTACTGCCTCTCCTCTTTGGTAAAGCCTTTATAAATCTAAATTAACGAGCTTGCACAATCTTGTATACAGGAACCCCATCTTGTCTCTTAACGTGATTATTAATGTATTATTCTGTAAAAACTGATTAAAAGGAGAGCAGTTTAACCACCTGGCTTTGACGTTTCTGCCTTGTTCCAGTGCCATCAGCAGTTGTGCTGGGATGGCCGTGCAGGTGTGAGCACTTCCCACTAACTCTGTGTGGTTTGCTCTGGGCATTGCTGCTCTGCTCCATCCTCACACCACCCATGGAAGGGACACTGGCAAAAAAGAACCAAAGTCCAGTAAAGGGGAGAGGAAGCTCCGCTGCACTGACTGCTTAACACAGAGCTCTTCAGTTATTCTTTTGAATCTGCAGCTTGGCTGTTCTGGTTGCTTGGAAGGAGAGAAATAGCTCTGCCTGCAGCAGGACTGTGCCCGTCCCTCTGCCGGCTGCTGCTTGATGCCTTGCTGAGAGTGGTCAAGTCCAAAACTGTTATGGTTGGCGTCTTTTTTCTTAGGAAATGCTGATTTTTCCTGACGAGACCGGAGGGTTTCTTCAGCTGCCACACACCCACCGGTCCCGGGGCAGGCCGGGCGGGGCCGGGGCTGCCTGGGCTCGGTCCCCGCAGCGTTATTGACCTTGATTCTCTCTCATTTGCATCCAGCATTTTTCATCCTCTGGAATATGGTGTTTGGGGACCTTTCCATCATTAAGTGGATTTACAGCAATTTCCTTATGTGTTTTCTCCAAGGGATTCTGTTATGAGAGGCACATTAAATCTCCATTAATACCTCATTATCCGACTGATAAGATTACCATGATAATGAGGCAGAAATTCTAATTGTTTCACTTCTTATTGTGCCTTTCATTAAATCATATACCTGGAAGTTGCTGTCAGAGTGGGGATCTCCAGCCTGCAGAGCCTGGGAGGTGACCTGGTCCTGTGCATCCTGTTCTGTCCCATGGTACTCAGGGGATCCTGGGGTGTGCTGGCCTTTTCTCCTGGGCTCCTGTGCCTCCTGCCACGGCCTCTCCTCCATGGCCATGGTACCAGAAGGGCTTCCAGTGGCCCCAGGGCCCTTGGCAGCCTGCACTGGGGGCATGGATTTGGAGAGACTGTTCCACATGGCCCCGTGAGCTGCCTGCTCCTGAGGGTGGTTAAGCACAGGGGTGTGCAGCCTCTGTCGGAGCTGTTACAGCCCATCAGGTCAATGATCCATGAACTAAAAAGTCTCTAAGAAAGAGCAATTATTGTCTATCATGTGTCAAAGGCGCCCGTATTGACCCCGAGATGGAGCCATTATGGCCTGTGAGGCAGCGATCCATGAACGGTCCGTGGGAGCCGAGGTCTGGACACAGCGAGGTGAGGGGGCCGGGGGGGCAGCACTGGGGCCGCTGCCATGGGCAGCCCGGAGCCAGGCTGAGGTGGGGAATGGCTCTGCTGGGCTCCCCAGGGGATGTCCCCTGCTCCGGCTGGGGATTCCCTGTGACCAGCGGCACAGCCGCCATCCCCACCGGGAAACACCACAGAGCCCTGCTTGGCGCTGGGTGCAGCCTGGAGCAGAGACGGCCCTGGTGCCCATGGGCACAGGAGCCCGCCCTGCGCGGCTCCTCTTGTCCCTGCCGGGGCTCCCGGCCAGCGCTGCCCGGTCCCGCGGAGAGCCCGGGGCGGGCCCTGGAGCGGGCGGGACCGAGCGGCCCCGGCTCCCTAGAGCAGAGCAGAGCAGAGCGGAGCCTTTCCCTGCTCGGGGGGCTCGGGCTCCTCCCGCGCAGAGGAGGCGATGTCTCCATAGAAACTGGCACGTTCGGAGGGCAGCAGGAGCGGGGACCGAGACAAAGCCTGAGCGGGAGCGGCCCCGGCACGGGGACCCTCGGGCGATGCCAGCCTGGGCCCCGCTGTCCCCGCTGCTCCGGGAGGACACAGGGGTGGCACTGCCACGGCAGCGTCCCCTGCCCTTGTGGCGGTGTCACCCGTGTGCCCGGGTGGCTTTTGGACCAGCCTGCAGAGCCAGAGCCAGTGCGGTGCGGCGCCTGGGCCGGGCAGGGCGGCGGGAGCGGGCGCTGCCCACCCTGCCCGGCACTGCCCACCCTGCCCGCCCTGCCCGGCACTGCCCGCCCTGCCCAGCACTGCCCACCCTGCCCAGCACTGCCCGCCCTGCCCGGCGCTGCCCACCCTGCCCAGCACTGCCCGCCCTGCCCAGCACTGCCCGCCCTGCCCGGCGCTGCCCACCCTGCCCGGCGCTGCCCACCCTGCCCACCCTGCCCGGCACTGCCCACCCTGCCCGGCGCTGCCAGCCCCGGGCTCAGCCACCTCGCCAGCAGAGTCGTTGGGCTGGGGTTAATCAACATTCATTCATGTTTCCAAGTGTAAATTGAGCATTTGTTTAATTATGTGTAAGCAGCAATACATTCTGGCCATTATCTAAATCACTATTTTATTTCCTGGATGTGGTTTCATAATGCTGGGTTTGTGCTCCAGCCTCTGCATCATTAACAGAGAAGAGTTAATGAATATAAAAGCGTAAAGGCTAATTACACTTTAATTTACAATCATGGTCTCATTTTGGGACCACATGAAATCTGTTTTGAAAACAATTAAAACAAAACAAAAAAAAGCCCAGTGAAGGTCTGGAGAGCGGAAGGGTTTTGGCACAGAGCGGCGCCGGTGGCCCCCGGGGCTGGCGGGGCCGGGGCTGCCCGGGGCGGGTCCCTCGCTGCCCCCTCGGCCGCGCGGGGTGACGGCCCGGGCTGGCAGCGGGACCCGCGGGGCTGCTGTGGGGGCCGTGCTGAGGGATGTAAATTGGAGCCCGAGAAGAGCACAGTTCACTGGAAGGAGACAAAGATTTATTGGGCTGCAGATGTTGAAAGCAAAATTCAGCGATAGTGCTGACTCCAGCACTTTGCAGCATTTACCACTCCTGGGGAACCTGTTCTGTGCCTCCTGCAGGTGCCTGGTCCTTGGAGGGACGGTGGCTGCAGATGAGGTGGCAGCAGAGGTTTTGTCCCCTCGGGTGCTGGGTGTCAGGGCAGCTCCTGCAGGAGCCCCTGGCTCTGCTGCCATCATCCCTGGCAGAGGCCATGGATGTCCCAGAGCATCAGGGCACTGTAAACAGCTGATGCCATGTCCAGGCCCAGGGCAGGAACTGTCCCCTCTGGCATGGGATGGCCTTTCTGGATCTGGCTGTGGGTTCCAGGTAGGATCTGGGGCTGTGGTGTGGGCTGGGAGGAGAGCAGGGCCCCAGGGAGCAGAACAGGAGCCTGTGCCCCCATGCTTTGCAGTGGGTGAATACCTGTTTGCATTTCCTTTATTCTGATTCCCTCAGCAATGGGATAAAAGCTGTGCTGGGACCAGGAGGGAGCAGTGGCCCCGGCACCAGAGACTTGTTCCCTTCTCTGGACTGGCTGGCTGTGGCCAGCAGAGGATATAAATCTCCCTGAGAAAACCACTTTGTTCACACAATTCCAATCCAACAGGGCATCGTGGCATCACTCATTCCTTGTTTTATTCAGCTGATGTCCTTTTACTGGGCCAGTTGAGCCCTGCAGCAGCACGATGCCTTTACAGGTGCTCAGAGCTGGGGGCTCATGGGCCCAGGCACTGCGAGGGCAGCCAGTGGCACCACAGGGGCGAGACCTTCATCGCCTCCTTCATCACCTCCTGAGAAGTGTGATGCCCAGCCTGTGCTGTGGGGATGCCAGGGCTGCTGAGGGCTCCAGGTACCTGGGGGTGTTGGCTCTGGTGTGTTGGTTCACAGGAGGGCTCAGGGTTCATTCAGGACCCTTTGCAGTGGCACTGGTGGTGGGGATGCTGCTTGTGCAGGGCATCATCAGCTCCCCACAGCTCCCCCTTGTCAGCGTTCCCACCTTCCCACTAATCCTTGTCATCCCAAATCCTATCAGCACTGATTTGATATTTACCTCCAAACCGTGGATGAACATGTTGAACATCATCATCCAATGATGATTCCCCATTGACAACTGCTTTTTGAGACCTGTCAGTCAGCCAATTCTTAATCCTTCTAATGTGAGCTCTATTGATATTATATACAGCTAATTTTTTAATCAAAACGTCATGTGCTATTAAATCAAATGCCGAACAGAAGCCAAAGCACACTACTGCTCCTCAGTTACTTTTATTAGGTAAACTTTTAAATTCAAGGAATGAAACCAAATTTTTTTACAAGCCCAGTTTCTCATCCAGCCCCGCTGCCGGCTCTGATTTCAGCCCCCCTTGCTGCCGTTCCAGCTCCTCAGCCTTTCCCGGGATGGACATGACCGGAGGGTGAGTGTGGGGCCCGGGGCTGGGCGTGCCAGGGGAGGGCCGGGTGCTGGGTAACTCCACAGTTAAAATCTTGGTGGGGAAATGGGAATTTTCCTCCTGTGCTGGATGCAGCCTCTGACCTGAAAACGCCGGCCCAGCCTCCCCGGCTGCGGCGGGGGCAGGCGAGCAAATGCGAGACGACAGCGCAAGACGCACCAATCTGGTCACCAGCTGTCCGGCCGGCACCGGCACCGGGCACGGCGGCGTTCCGGGGGAGGAGGAGGGCACGGCAGGGCCGGGCTGGGCAGGAACGTGCGGGCAGGCACACGCTGCCCGTGCCAGGTCCGTGCTGGGCTGGCACCGGCGCTCCTCAGCCCCGGAGCAGCCCGCGGGTCCCACCGCGGTGGCCCTGGGTGGGCCCTGGTGCAGTTTGGGTGCCTGTGCCACCGAGGCTGAGCTCTGGGGACCCTGCCCAGAGCCAGGTGAGCCAGGCTGCTGGCAAGCCCCCTGCCTGGAGAACCACAGCTCCTGCCCTGCTCCATCCAGCACAGGGATGCCCGGCTCTGTCCCCTCCAGCTCAACCAACCCTTTGCAAATCTAAATTAATAAGGTTGCAGAGCTACAGACACAGGAACATGGGCTGTGTCTTGTCTTTGTCGATCAATGCTTTCTATCATCCCATAAAGCTGATTAAAAGGCAGAGCAGTTCATCTCACCAGGTTCCGCATCCCAACATTATAAATTTGATATTCCAGTCAATGATTGTCAGCGCTGGCGGAGGACACGGAAGCTGGTCAGTATTTGTGGTTTATAATTAATATTGGAGCACTGGGTTTATATGTAATATCGGAGCATTGCTGCAGAGGGCACCAAGGAGGAATCTGGGGTGGTTGGGAATTTATTATCCCTAAAATGTCAAAGAGCAAGAGCGATGCAGTTTGTGTGTCCAGCAGTGCCCGTGCCAGAGGCACAGGGAGTGACCAGAGTGACCCGTCACGGTCACCAGCTCTGCACTGTGTCCCCAGTGCTGCTGGCAGGGCCAGCCGAGGGGGTCAGCTCCATGCCAGCCCTTCCCTGTGTCCGTAGGGAAGCTGCTCTGAGCAGATGTCTGTGCCCGGCTCTGGACAGGGGATGTCGGTCCCTCAGGCTAGGCGGTGACCTGGTTGTGCTGCCAGCTGCTTGGGAGCCGTGGGTGGATGGCGCTGCCGCCTGCCTGGAGCCCTGCCGGGGCCTCGGCCCCTCCAGGCTGCGGGGCTGGCCCTGGCCAGCCTTGGGGCACGGGCAGAAAATGACACCAGAGCACCCCACAGACCCTGCTGGGCCAGCACAGGGAATCTGGGGCTTGCTCCAGGAATAAGAGACTCGACCCCAAAGGAATGTCCTGAGCTGTTTCCCTGGGACAAACCCCATAGCCTGACCAGATCCCCAGGGTCAGACAGCCTCATGTCCTGGATTGGTGAAGTGCAAGGGAGGGTTGAGGGGGTCACTGGCCCTCCGGACAGGAGCAGGGACAGGGGTAGGGACAGGGACAGGGGTAGGGACCGGCCGTGGCAGCGGTCGCGCAGCCTGAGCCGCGCCGGAGGCTGCGATCGGCGGCCTCAAGGTGGCACCGTAAGAGTGGGAACAGCGCGGCAGAACAAAGACACAGCCCAGAGACCCAGAACAGAGCCCAGCACAGAGCCCCCAGCTCAGAGACCCAGCTCAGAGCCCCCAGCCCAGCTCAGAGCCCCCAGCACAGAGCCCAGAGCCCCCAGCCCAGCCCAGAGCTCCCAGCCCCTGGACAGAACAGGGGAGTCCCGATGCCCTCGGCAGGAATGGCAGCACTGGTGAGGAAGATGGGGTCACGGCAGGGGCAGGATTAGGGGCCTTGGGGCACCCACAGCCCCCGGCCAGCACGGGCAGGAGCCTCAGGAGCCTCAGGATCCTCAGGAACTCCAGTCTGGGGCTCTGCATGTCCCGGGGCTGTGCCAGTCACAGCTTGCAGGGGACTGGGCTGATGTATGGGTCAAACACCCCGTGTCTGCAGGGATTTTGGGGGCAATTGTCACGTTTCTGTGTTTCTCCAGGCACAGGAGGGCAGATGCCGTGTTGGTGTGGGGCTGGTGCCCACTGCAGACAGTGGCATGGATCCACGCAGGCCTCTGGTGCCAGGTATGATGCTGGCATTCCCTGCTCACTCTCCCTTGTGCAGGGCCGGGGATGCTGATCCTGGAACGCTGCCCAAACCCCCTGGGGTGTGTGGGGTCCTCCTGCCCGGCTCTCCTGCGGGAGGGCCCCTCCTGCTAATTGGAGTGAGCTGAGGAGGAGCCGCTCAGCTCTGCCTGCCTTGACACTGGGACCTAAACTTGCTGTAAAACCAAATGGATACACACACCCACATCCACCAGGCTTTTAGTTCAGCAACAAGTGAATCCATCAAAGCCCAGCACCTAATTTAATAGCAATAATGAAAGGTGTGCGTCACTATTAATTTAAGCACTCCAACATTAGCCTTGCACTTAGAAACCAGCAAGGCAAAGCTATTTACAAATGAATGTACCAGGGCAATAAATTGAAAGGACTGGTCTGACCTGCGGTGGTGGCTTTCTTCATTTATACATAGATATATTTCTATAGATGCATTTATTCCCATCTCTTTAGCGAACTCTCCCTAATTAAGTTGAAGTGGCAGTGGAAGTGTGGCAGTAAGTGTGGAAAGAAGCTGCTGAAAACGTATTTAATTCATTATAAATAATCTTTGATACCGTGAGGTTGCATAAAGGTTTCGGTATCAGAGCAGGACACCGAGGAAGGCCAAGGAGATCATGGGCACGCAGCGGCAGCGCCTGCATCCCGCGGCTCGGGGCTGGCGGCGGAAGGGGGAGCGCGGCCGGCGGAGGCTCCGGGGCGGCGGGAGCGGGGAAGGGCCCGCGGGCCGTGCCTGCCCCCGAGGGCAACGCATGCGGGCAGGAAGGTGTGTGTCACCCGCATTAGAGGAGCTTAATGTGCTCAGAGTCGCGTTTCTGTACCCTCGCAGAATACATTATCTGCACGCTGCCTTTACAGGCTGTCACCTCGCAGGGAGGCTGCAGAGTTCCTGGAAACCATTATCAGCCTCTAATGATATTATCAAAATTGGAGCACTCGTGGCATGGTGGGGGGCGGGGGTTCATCCCTGCTCTGGGAGGGCCCACGGGAGCAGCAGGACAGGACAGGACTGTGGCTCTGTGGATCCTGCTCTGGGGTCCCGCGGGTGATGTGCCGAGGGGTGCAGAGCCCGTGGGGACCCTGCGAGGGCTGCATTGGGGTTAGGGCACCTTGGGCAGGGACACCTGCCCGTGCCCCGTAAGCTCCGTGCAGGAGCCAGCCCCAGGGCACCGTGCCCACCACACCCCCTCCAGGGTGCCCTTCCCATGGCACCGCTGACCCCGAGCGCTGCTCTGCCCTCCCTGGCTGCTGGCACCACAGAAAAACAGAGCCGCCCTTTTTGGAGTGTAATCTCCCGCCTGCGACAAGGAGCCACGCAAACTGATAAATTGCAGATTAAACGAGTGCCACACTCCACTCCAGCCCTGGCTGTTAATTCCCCTGTTGTGCAATTCCCGGCTCTCAGGGCCTGTCAATTCCAGCTAATCGCAGGAGGCACTAAAACACTCTGCCCTGACAGCCCCGGATCGAGGCACCCCTGACTCCCGGCTCAGGTGGATTGCACGCATCACTTATGCACAAATCAGCAATATGCCAGCAGGGAGGAATTATGTCCGATGACAGCCCAGACATGAGGTACATATTGCAGAGCCGGCGAGCCCCAGCCGCCGTGACAGATTGCGGCGCGGGGCTGCGCTGGTGCGGGAGCGGCTCCCGCTGCACCGGCCCCGAGCGCACCCGGAGCCACCGGCCCCGCGCCCGGGCTGCCGCAGGACGGGGCGGCCCCGCAGCCTGAGCCCCTCCCTGGCCCTGTGCCTGTCCCTGTGCCTCTCCCAGGCCCTGTCCCTGTCCTTGTGCCTGTCCCTGTGCCTCTCCCAGGCCCTGTGCCCCTCCCAGGCCCTGTGCCCCTCCCTGTCCCCGTTCTTGTCCCCATCCCCGTCGGTGCCACGGCCCAAAGGGGCAAAGGGAAAGGAGGAGAGAACGGGGCAGGAATTGGCACCGTGGGCACAGGGAGGGCCCCCCGGGCTGAGGGGTGCCAAAACACCCTGCTGTGCCCAGCTGGGGTGGGGACCAGCCCTGCTCAGCCCAGCCCAGCTCTGCTGTAACATTTAACTTGTCGTAGTCTGTGATCCTGAAAAGCTGAAATTAATGACAGCCTTGCAGTTGCTCATTAATAATTGCTTCATTACTGTACGCAGTTGCAGCCTCCTGACAATAATGGGGTTTGCTGGTGTATTTCTAATTATCTGGCATTTCAGCTCCCTAATAGAGTCCCGGTGCTCCCTGACGAGACCTCTCTCTCCAGCAGGAGCTCAGCCCAGCCTGCTCAGCCCACAGCAGCCCGCCTGCTCCTTCATCTGCAGCTCCTGGGAACGGCTGAGCCGCCCTGGTGGGGCCCACGCAGGACCGGGGGCACCGAGACCCTCCAGGCCTGGGCTGAACTCTCCCCATCCCCATGGCACACCTGGGGCTCGTGCTGAGCTCGGACTGGGAGCAGTGACACCGTGAGAGGAGCTGGGAGCTCCGGTGCCCTAAGCAGGTAAGTGCCTGTGGCTGGCAGTGCTCAGTGTGCCCACACCACAGCTGTGCCCATGGCCACACCACAGCTGTGCCCATGGCCACACCATGGCCATCCCCATGGCCACACCACAGCTGTGCCCATGGCCACACCACATCCATCCCCATGGCCACACCACATCCATCCCCATGGCCACACCACATCCATCCCCTTGGCCACACCATGGCCATCCCCATGGCCACACCATGGCTGTCCCCATGGCCACACCACATCCATCCCCATGGCCACACCATGGCCATCCCCATGGCCCTGGCAGCCCCAGCAGCCCTGGCCCTGCCCCTGGGCTGTGTTCCAGCCTGGGTGAGCAGGGCAGGAGGAGGTGCCAGAGCCTCGGTGGGTGCTGGGGCTGGGCCAGGTTGTGGCTGTGGCTGTGGAGTGGAATTGCAGCTCCTGGCAGAAATCCGCCCCGCAGTGGTGGCAGTGGCAGTGGCAGGGGAATTGTGGCCGTGTCCCCACGCTCCCAGCCTGGAAATGACCACTTGTGCCCCATTCCAGCCCTGCCACCAGCTCCCAGCCCATTACAGCACACGCGGGCCCCGCGCTCCCACCTGGGGAGGGGGCTCATTTGTAGTTAAAAATCTATTGTGACTTGTCAGAAAAATGAATAAATGAGCACATTATTTTTTCATTTTGGAGCTCAGCATCTGTTTGTCTAATCAAGAAAGAGAACTGGGAAAGTCAACCAGGGCTGACGCACACATTTTATTTAACTTTTCCTCTGTCAAAGGAGTTTAAATGTGTAATGAACAGGCCATGGTGATTTGAAATATAATCCCATTACTCTGATGAGATTACCCAGGCTGTGAGAGTTCACAAATCATGCTTAGGGTTTTTAGAGTGAACAACACCCTGTTGAGATTTTTTTCTCTTTTTGCATTTAAGCAGAGGTGTGTGGGGAGAATAAAACATGACAGTGCTTAACCCTTCATGCAGTGGAGCAGAAGCATGGGGCTGTGCCCAGGGCCAGCCCTCCTTGTGCCCGGTTCTTGGTGACCCTGAGCTCTCCATGGTCACGGCAGCGATGCAGGGAGCACACCTGGCCAGGGCACGCTGCTGCTGGCCCAGCTGGCCGTGTGCCACCGTGCCCACACCTTCCTGTCCTCGTGGCTGTCCTTGTCCCAGTGCTGCACGGGGTGGCTGTGCTGGCTGTGATTTAAGAGGCATTAATTTCAGCAGCAGCAGCAGCACCCAGCCCCACCCGCCACCACAGCAGCGCATTTCCATGGATTCATGGGCCCATTACAAACATGTCTCCATAAATAACTCCCCCCATTAATCTCAGGGCTGCACCCACGGCTGTGCCATGGGTTTTGCTTGCTTGTCCTGGTGCCAGGTCTCAGCCCCCCCTGAGGGGCAGCTGCAAAACCCAGGGATGCACCAGACTCCTGCCAACCCAAAACCAAAGGTAATTCTGTCTGGAATTGGTGCTCTGGGAGCTCCTGGCAAACCCCTGCAGAGCCCAGGGAGAGCACCCAGTGCTCTGGCCTTGGGTGCCAGCATGTGCCAGGCTGCCCTGGCTGTCCCCTGCTCAAAGGTCTCTCTCTGGTGTTCCCCTGTGCTCTGACAAAGCCAAGGAGGTGGAGGGGAATTGTCCCTGTGGACAGGAGTCCTCTGACAGCAGGAGTCAGAGGGAGTTGAGGGAATCTCTGCTGCCTCCAGCAGCTGCCTGCGTGTGCAGGCCGGGCCGCGCTCTGCTCTGCCCGGTAGCAGGATGGGGGAACAGCTTGCCTTGCTGACCCAGTTGATGCCCATCTGACTCAATTACATCTACAGCTACCGGGGAAAGACCAGCCCGCGATGGCTCCGTGCTCAGCTGTGCACACTCTGCAGCCACGAGCGCTGATTTAACTCCTTCAGGGGCGCTGGGCAGCCTCTGCTGGGGCAGGGATGCTCAGCTCCTGGAATGCTGGACCTTTCCAGGGTTTAAGGAAGGTTTCCTGTGGGCCATGTATCAAACTGAATCTGATCTTTGGAAGCAAATTTGCTTTTTAATTGTCGGTGGCTCTTTTGGAGCAAATAAACTCTGGGCTCCAAAGCTCCCTGCTCCTCACCCAGCCTTGGAGCAGCCTCTGTCTGTCCATCTCTGCCTGGGTCCCAGGACACCCACACCAGGAGCAGGAAGGTGACTGACAGGAGGCTGTGAACACAGCTGGTCTGAGCAAGGGACTCTGCCACAAATCTGAGTTTTTTAGGCTCTCCTGAGAGCAAACCTGCACATGCTGAATCCCTGCTGATAATAAATACCCGTGAGGGGGTGGCGACAGCACTATGGCCATGGAAACAGGAGATTGCTGCAGATTATGGTACCAAATAGGCAATTTTTCAGTTCAGTTAAAAAGAATTGAAACTGGGTGGTCAAAGAACATTCACAGAGCAACTTTAATGTTAAATATTTCACAGAGTTGGTTAAAAGAGTCATTTACATCGAAGGGGCTTTTCCCATTGTATCTGTGCTGCATTTGCACATAGAAAATATTTAAAAAATTAATAGAATACTATAAAATAGTGTTTCTCTTGTTTTGCAGATATCATGGAAGACTGTACAGGGAGGCCTGGCCTTGGTGGTGCAGGGCCAAGCTTCTGAAACCCAGAACATAAACACAACAGGTGAGACCCAGGCCCTCCCTCTGCCCAGGGCTGCCCCACACGCTGTGTTAAGGCTCAGGAAGTTTTCTCTGTACAAAAGCAAGGTGGGAGGCAGGCAGAGGGTGGGCAGTGCCCCAGGGAGCTGCCCCCAGCCCCATGGGGAACCAGGGCAGTTCTGTGATAGTGTGTGCAGAGCTCCAGTGACCTGGAGAGATGCAAGAAAGACACCTCTGGTGAATTCAACCAAAAATGTGGCTCTGGGTGCCAGCATCCATTCCCGTGTTCCCTGATGTGTTAAGGATGAACAAGGCCAAGATAGTTACAAATCCCAGTACAAAGTAGGTCTTAATTTTTATTGTTAAAGAATAATATTGAGAGAAGGTGAAGGCATTTCCCAGTCCCCAGGGACAAGGTGCCCCAGTGGATGTGCCAGCTCCAGGGGGGCAGCAGCTGAGGGTCCCGGGCAGGAGGATTCTCCTCTCCACCTCCAAGACGTGGATTTCCAACCACCGTGCTGCCTTCAGCAAGGAACTCCCGATAAAGCATTTGCAAAGCTGAAAAGCACAGTTAAATAAAAATATTTTTGAACAAAACAAACACAACAGACTGGACTGTCTCAGGGCTCCCTCGCTAAGCGCTCCCCTGCCACGGCTGCTGTTCCTGGCTCACGGATGCCTCCTGCACTTCAGCAACAGAAGTGAAACCATCTGGGACTGCAGCCTCCCCCCAAAAGAACTGTGCATCATATGGACCTTGAAAAAGATTACATCTGTTTATTAATAGTAAAAATGGATACATTTGTCCTACATTTTGTTTTTAGAAATTTGATCATGTCACAAGCAATACCTGCGTGTACGTGGGTGGATTACAGATGTATATAATTTATTTTAACCAGGCTGTGAAATAATATGTAATCACATCTCTTCTTGTGATTGTACATAATACAGTAATTAAATGATGCCAGTCTACGTCATTCTCTTATTTCTAATCAAAGGAACCTGAAGCGTAACAGTCTTCTTTCCGGCTGATATGGCTCTTTATTTCTGTCACAGGGGAGACTTCCCACCGCCGAGGAGGGACAATCTTCCAGCCGTGAGAGACGGGATGGTTCAGATTCCCGGCCGCCGCCCGCCCCGAGCAGGGGCAGCGCTCCCGGCCGCCGCCCGGGCGGAGCGGCTCCAGCGCCGCACGCAGGCTCTGCTCCAGGCTCACTGCTGCCCCGACTTCTTCTCCTTCTGGAAGCTAAAGCTTGTTCTCCTGCTCAGTTTTCTTTGTTTCTGAGCAAAATAATCTGCTCTGGCTGTGCTTGCTCGCGACTCTAGAATATAGTTAACCTGCAAGACACGAGGTGGTGTTAATGTCACCCGAGGCCGGGGGACAGCCCGGGTGGGCAGGGACCCCCAGCCCAGCCCCTGAGCAGGGCTCTGGTCCAGCTGGTCCCATCCGCTGGCAGGATGATGGCAGAGGGAGCCCAGAGTGCCAGGAGAGCCCTGGGTGTCCTCCTGTGTCCCTGCTCCCGTCCCGGGTCACCCAAACCTCTGGGGAAGGCAGGGAGCTGTGCCGACCCTCCAGTGCTGGGACAATCAGCAATGAGCATCAATAAAGGACCTTATCAGCCTCAGAAAAAAGAATTCTTCCATTATGATGTTTGCATACTCAGCTAATCTCAGAGTTTCCCTGTGTTTTGGCACATTTTACTTGATGAAAGCATTTTAAAATTATATTTAACAAGCCTGCTACTCCCTAAATTTATTATCTCCAATGCTTTGTGATAATCTCAAAGATAATTTTAATGGAAGGTTAATGCAAGAATCAAAAAGATAAAAATGCCCTTTGGTCTGTCATTAGCTGGTTAATATGCTGTGGCTTAAAACTTGCACAATTTTATGCACTGTAGAGTGTTTCACTTTCATTGCATATTACAGCTTAAGGCATAAAAATATAGGGAATTTTCATGGTCAATAAAGTCTCAGTCCTTCTCACTTGATCATCTAAAAAGCCTAATTTGAAAAGTCTGATTTTTCTGCGCTCCCTAATGCTGATGGAATTGAAAACAAACCAATGACTTGTGCATGAAACCAGAGAATGTTCTTTATAAACAAACTTCAACTTGGGAAAAAAGTACTGCTCAATATTATTTATCTCTTGAATATTCATGTTATTGACAGTAAACCATTTTTTTAGCCTTTGTTTATGACCAGACTCGGATGGGTGGAAGTGTTCAAAACCCAGGGAGATGTGGCATGGGGGTATTTGGGCAAAGGTTGGACTTGATGACCTTGGAGGTCTTCTCCAGCCTTAATGATTCTATGATTCCACGATTCTAAGTGTTAGGGATTGCAATAGCTGATCTAAGATAAAGTGGGAACAGAAGAATTGGCCTAACAGCCCACAGAGCAGAAACCCCTCAAACACACTGACCTCCTGTGTAATGAATAAAAGTTATTTTATCGCACGTCAGTTGTTTAACAATCCTCTAAACTCCACACAGCCAATAAAAGCAAACATAACAGATGGTTTGCCAAAATTACTGCTTTTGAATTTTGACTTGCTACGAAAGATGAACTTGTGGAAAATTCCATTTAATTTTTCAAGAGTGTAACAAAAATTTGTTTCCCAAAGCAAGGGAGTTTGTGTCTGTACAGGGCCCCAAGGAAAGCAAAGAGTCCTGAGAGAGGATGAGGGGAGAGAAGCCCCTGTGTGCTGTGTGGGGACACCTGAGTGTGGGGCAGAGCTGTGAGGGGCAGGAGCACCAACCCCTGCATGGCACAGGGCTGCTGACCACGTGTCCAGAGGTGGAAACTGGACACAATAAAATCTGGTAGTCTCCTATAAAATTCCACAGAACATGGTGTCTCTATTAGCTAAAAAAAAACACAAAAGGAAATGCTACACACAGACAGGCAGTGGCTGCGTGGCTGTTGGAAGGGTGAATAAAACAACAGGCATGGAGCAGCCATCCTGGCAGGTTAAACACACCCCAGTGGTCCTCAGGCACTGCACCCTCGTGTGTTTCCAGAGCCTCCTGAATACTCACATGTCTAACAAGTGGTAAAACACCAGGATTTTGGGTCACGTTAAAATTTAATACTCACCTTCAGTACAATTTCATTGACAGTAGCAGCATCTGATTCAAAGTAAAGGTGTTTGTAGTCATGATTGCTTAGATATGTAAGTTTAAATATTGCATGACCTGCAAAGATAAGAAAAAAACTGCTTAGAATATTCCTGTAAAGTTTGAGCAGAGCTCGTTGCCTGACAGAAGAAAACCACAGATGGTGATCTCAGCGTACCATCAGCACGACAGAAGGAAGCAATGAAATGCTGACAGGCTTCTCATGTCATTTCAATTTAAGGCAAGTGGTGGCTTACAGGAGCAGCTGAACTCCAGTCAATAAAGTTCCTTTTCCCATCACATCCCCACTGCAGGAAATGCAAAAATCCATCAAATGGCTGGTTAGCTCTGCCCGGCCGCGACGGCGCTGCAGCCCCGGCACCGCGTCGGGGCTGCTCATGGGAGGAGGGTTGTGCTGAACAGAAAATGGCAATTAATCCCAGAGCCACCTCTCCAAACCCTCCTCCCAAAGCACCCAAAACACCACGTGAGCCCAGCCAGCTGCTGGTGGCCCCAGGAGCGGCACCAAGTGCAGGGCACCGAGGGACGCGGCCCTGCCGCCACCAAACCCGCTCAGGGCTGGGATGGCCCTTCCCACACCAGGGAAAATCAAATTAAACTCTAAATGTGACCTGCTGGCACCTTCCTGGCACTTGGGCCTCTGTCCCAAACAGAGGTTCCATGTGCTGGCCCTGTGGCTGCCCTGGCACAGTGTCCCTGGACTCCAACATGTGGTGCCAGGAGGAACGACTTGGACACAAAGGCCTGGCACAAAGGAAGGCAAAATATCCTTCACTTGTATGGATGCTGATGGCTTCAAAATTAAAATTAAATGTATTCTATACATGATACTTTTCCAACGGTTTTCTAATTTATTCTGTTCAACAGTCAAAGTTAGCAATCCATAAAGTAACAGCCACATTACTGTAAATCCAGGTCTTTCCTGCAGGAAAGCTAATTGGAAATCTTATTTACATTATCTAATTCTCCAGATTTCCAAAAAGTGACTGATATATGCTCAGATTGGTGGCCAGGAAATTTGAGATGCAAGTATTTTATTGTGGCATGTTAATTAAACACCATTATGATGCACTAATCTGGAATATAAATTCTGTATTGAAAAATTGGCTAATAATAATAATAATAAAAACCCAACCCTTTAAATCATTTGACAAATGATGCCTCAGTGGTACTAAAAATGCGGAATTCCAAGCTGGGAGCTCATCAGCATGTTAATGCATGCAGCTTTGCCTGGAACACAGCATCTTAATGATTCCAAAAGTGCCAGTGCACCACTCTGGGGTTGGGACACAGCACCGTGCTCCACCAGCTCCCACCATTCTCCTTGGGCATTGAACATTCCACACTGGTTATCAGAAATGACACTGGCACAAAACAGGATCAGAGGACCCCAACGAGCTGCTGCATTTTGGGTTTTGGAAGTTCTGGGTAATTCTTGCTGTGGATCAAGACAAAACCTCTCCAGGTGTTCCCTGCTCCCCGGGAGCCCAGCCTGGTGTCACCACGTGTCCCTGGGGCACTGCCCTGCCCAGGGCAGCCCTGCCAAGGGCACAGCTCCTGCTCCCACGGCACAGAGGCTGCTCTGGGCCTGCCCAGCCGGGCACTGGCCAAGTGTGGCTCTGCAGGGGCCCTGGGGAGCGCCGGGGACGCGGCGCCAATGCCAAACCTGTGCAGAGCTCACAGCCCCTCCTGCTGGGACTGGGGACCCAGTGGAAAGAAGCCAAGAAGACTTTTCCTTAGAAAGCCCCATTACAGCATCATGTTTATGGGCTCCAAGTCCACAACACACTACTTACAGCATGAAATATGAGTGCACTGAAATCCTAACTGGCACTTTGCTCTGCTACTCTTCTAGCCAGATGGAATTTATGAATTGTGAGATTGATTTCCATTTCCAAGAGTGCTTAAATATGTGATGTACCTCTTTCCAATAGAGCACCACCCCTGACAATTCTGAGATCAATAGGAGCTTCCATGGTTTGATGTTTCCGTGTGAGAGGATCTGGTAACAAACAGCAGCAGCTCGAGTGGCTCCTGCTGCACGTGATGGGGGATTTAAAGCAAATGCAGATGCTGCACAAGCAGCTGCTACCATCACTCCACACCACCAGTGTGGTGGCTGGGTGTTTGCAGGGAACCTCAGTGCCCCGCAATCAGGATCAATCAGCTGCACAACAACAGAAAATCCACGTTATTCCCAACTACATTTGTCTGTTAAAACAGTTATGGAAAGCAAAAGGAATGACAGAAACTCAGCTGCTACCAGCAGCTTTTGTCACAGGGCAGGCACAGCCCACGCTGAGCTCAGCACAGCCAAGGGGTCTCGTGCCAATGTCCCTGGTGCCCCCTGAGCCCCAGCCATGCCACGGCCCCACAGCAGAGCAGCCTCTCCCCCCTGCTGCCCCTTGGCCCCAGCTCGGAGCACTGATAAATCCTCCCCAGCCCAGCACTAATGGGTTCCTGTGTGGTTACTCCTGGAGAGGAGCCTACAGACGGAAGGGCAGGATGCTAATTCACTGGGAATTCACCAAGGAGAGCTCATTTACTCCTTCAGCACCACGTCTCACGTTCAGCTGCTCACCCCATCTCCTGATTTTTAGCACCACTGCACTGCCAACGAGGCGAGGGAAGAGGCCCTGCAGCGCTGCAGCTCCCGGCTCTCCTGGCCCTTCCCAGGGCTCTGCAGCTCCTCTTGCAGCCTCCGCCCTGCACAGCAGCCCCCAGCTCCTCCACGGCCCCACAGCTACACACAGCCCTCAGAAACCCTGTGGGATTACAGCTCCACAACTACACCATAATGTGCTTGTACAGGCAACAGTAAATCTTGCGCTAATTCCTGCAATCTTGGGAAAACATCCAAACCCTTGGTGGGCCTCATGCTGCACCTGACACAGGTAGAAAAATAATCACTCTAATCTAAGTAATAAACTCTTTTTATCAAAGTCCAAAAGATAGATTTTTTTGCTTGGAAAACAAGGATATGAATTTGCACAAGAAAAGATATTTTTTTACGAATCTGCTAAGACTAGAAAGTTTTTCTTCTTTCCCTCCCACCCCACAATTCAGCCCTTATCCTTTGCCAACTCTTTAAACAGAATGGAATTAAATCACTAATTAGACAGAGGATGAAAAGAATATTCATGAATTGGACAAAGCAGAAAACAAACAAACACTAGAAATGCAAATTTATGTTAATTTTTCAATATACCTTGATGATTGCTTTGTCATTACAGGGCCATAAGGCAGAAGTCAACAATTAAGAGTTATTAGTGGAATAAATAGCTGGAGAAGGACTCTCTGAAGAACAAAGCACTTATGGACATCGTTTGACATCACTGATTCTCACTGCTTCAGAAACTGTGACCTCAACAGGCTCAGACCCTGAAATCTCTTCCCATGGGCCCAGAGAGGATGCAGGATTAGAAATACACCAGTAAAAAGCAAGGAATGAGGATAGTAAAATACACATCAGCAATACTTCTGTACAAAGGCACATTTCCTCCAACCCTACATGAGATGGGGGAGGCTCTGCTCTGCAGCCACTGCTGCATTTCACCCAAAGCACTGGGGAGGGGCTCAGCTGTCTGAAATCCTCGTGTGATAGCCCAGGAATGGTGCTGTGACCCTGGAGGAAGGCCTGAAGAGCCTACAAAGCTGCAAGAGTTGTGTCAGGGTTAAAAAACATTCAACACCCTTCCTGACACCCTCTGGTAACAAAAAAAACTTCACAGGGGAGGTCACAAGTTGCAGCCAGAGTTGGATTATGCAGATGTGGCACCAAGCTCGGCTAGGGACAGACAGAACGGGGATGTGGACCTGTGTGTACAGGTGGGGTTAATCCCATTTCATGCAAGGGATATTTATCCCAGAGGTACATGAGTTAGAGGCAGCGAGGGCAGTC